GTTATACACAACAGACCAGAGGCAAGTGGGCAAGTGGGCAAGTGGTGAGTCCAACTTCGCTTAGTCAGCAGTACCCAGTTCCAGTCTCACTTTGTACAGTCAGCAAGTACCACGAGTGACTATGTGCCCCATGGGCCCGGTGGAAAAGGGCAGACCAGCGAGTCAGCGACTTACAGAAGTATAAATCAAGAGGCAGCGTCCAGCCATTCATTCATTCCTGCGTGAGCCATGTGGAAGCGCTGTCCTAACGTCTTGTGTGAGGTGGTCTGCAGATTGCCCGAAGTCGAAGTGGGCAGATGTGGAGTTAGAGCAGTCATCGCTGCTTGTAGATAGTATTAGTTGGTGGCCGTAGCTGCCATAGCTCGCGATAGGTGTTAGTCAGAGTGAGTTGATGTGAGTGTATGTGAACACAGTGTTTGACAGAGGATGTGTGGGCGCTCAGGCGCCATAGCCAATTGGAAGCGAGTTTGTAACTGAACTGTGTTCTCGGCTTGACTATCTCTGCGTTTTGTATGGGCGCACAGCACCATTGTGAATTGCCATATGTTTGCATGTATGCGAAGTGAAGAAGAAAGCGAATCTGATTGCACGCATTTCCAGTAGCTTCAGTCTTGGCCGAAGTGTCTCCGCCCCGGCCCGTTCAGACAGTGGCCTGGGACCGAATTGGTCAGGCATGCTGTGGCATACTGCGCATCCACACGGGCCTGCAGGGCCCGACCAGATGGAAAATAAGGGCCCTCCAGGCCCTGTGTCGTTTCAGTCTAAAAGCCTAAAAAGGAGGGCCATTTTCAGGCCCTAATAAAGTCGACCTGCCCTGAAACTTAGACGCCAGACCAGGGTTAAGCACATGCCATTTGTAGGCCTGTTTCAAGACAACCTTTGTTTGAACTTCAACGCCAGGGTCTGACACGATTCGGCATGGGCAAGAGCAGCCTCCCAGGCCGGACCAGCACTACATAGTACTGGTCCGCCCTGCAGGCTAAAGGCAGTCCACGGGGAGTTCACAGGGACTTCACGTGCAGTTCAGGAGGGAGTCTTCAGGATTTGGCCGCAGCACTCTGCAGGAGCGCTGAAGTAATAGTAGCTAGCGCTAGGAGTAGTCTTCAGCGCTGGGCGCTGTTAGGAGCTTAGAGTAGCGTTGGAGAGAGAGAGGGTTGGCGGAGGCCAGGGACACTTACCTGTGGCGCCATAGCTCCAGCTTCCGTCTTCAATGTGCCTGCAACAAGGCGCCACCTTCACAGGTTAGTACTTGGCACCAGAGAGAGAGAGAGAGGTCTTCTTCTTCCTCCTCTAAGTCCACCATCTCTCCCTCACCCTCTTGCTACCTGACTTCTCAGCACCTACAGACTAAGAGAGAGAGAGAGAGAGAGAGAGAGAGAGAGAGAGAGAGAGAGAGAGAGAGAGAGNGAGAGAGAGAGAGAGAGAGAGAGAGAGAGAGAGAGAGAGAGAGAGAGAGAGATTTGCGGCTTTGAGATTTGACGACATTTGGCTTCAGACTCGACCTTGACATCGAGACATTGGATGAGGGATTATTTGGGGCATATATCGAAGACTTGGTGTTGACGACATTCCCATCTTCCCCCTCTTCTTCGCCTGATCCCCCTCCTCTTCGTCTGTGTATGGTTCGGGACTGGCGCGTTCTTCCTGTGTGAGCGCCAGGCCCCTTCACACCTTGTGATGATGATGATGTATGTTTAGTCTGCATTGCAACATTGATCGGTCTAATCATTTGTATTTTAGCCTTCCGCTGCGCTATCTTGTACTATGTGAGAGAGGTCGGTTCTTGTTCTGGTCTGTACCATTATGGTATGTGACACATGCCCAACCACCCAGGCAAAAACGTGTGGTGGTCCCTGTTTCAACCTCGTTGCTGGAAGAGCCTGGAAGCCTCACACACATTTCCGATTCTCAGGAGCAAAGTGGATGTAATCAACTGGCGCATGGCAACTCTCTGGCGCCCACCAAGCTTTGCAAAACTTGACGAACTCAGGGCACATTGAGATTCAGGGGCCGCCTTCACTTAGGGCAGGCACGCGCCTGCTGCAGGGCCTTATGCCGAGGGGTAAACCCTCGCAGAAAGAAGGATGACTAAGTAAATTTGTAGGGACCCTGAAAGGATTCTTCAGCATTTTGGACAGGCACAATGTTTGCTACGACTAGAATTAGGTGATGTGATGGTACTCTGCATGAATGAATGAATGTAGCCAATGCTGGGGCCAGATACATATGTTCCATTGAAGTCTGCAATGATGTCTCCCCCTCCCAGGAAACCCGTAGGAGAGGTGGGCTAGGCCCAGGAGTCAATCAGTAGCATGCTACTGGTTGACTCCTGGGCCTAGCCCAAAAGGTGTTTCTTCTGCCTTCCAGTTTATTTCCATCACTACGGCTACCCGTAGGAGAGGTGCTGCTGCTCCGCAACGAGGGTGAGGACTTGCAGCAAGCCAGTAGAGGAGGGAGGAGCTTGGAGGTGGAGAGGAAGCTCTCCGCAGCGATGGCGTTGTTGGAGTAAGAAGAGGGGCAGGCTGTGCCGATGGCGCTGATGGGGACCTGTAATGATATTGGGTGAGCAGGTTTGAAGAAGATGAGAGTAAGCATCAATGAGGAACAAGGTGAAGGTAACCGTGATGCAGACTTACGTTCAGCTGTCATGGACTATCATCTTCTCTCCTATGGTGAGGCAACAAAAAAGCCGACCCTTCTAGGGTTGATTCTCAGAGACTTCATTGAAAGTGTGGCATACAAAATCGAGGTTGTATTGTCCTTGGTACATTCCTCTTGAGCAGCTGCAGATAGCCAGCAGCTGATAACTTTTCTACCTGGGGAGAGACAGGAGGTGTGTAACAGCTGAAAGAATGTGCTTTCCCCCTGGTATTGCTGCGTGGTTGACTTTCTAGAAAAGGGCAACTGTCTTGAGATATGATCGTCGAGCTGACTGTGTCCCGGTAGTTCATAACTATTTTATTCTGTTCATCTGATTGCATCTGGATTCGGATTTGAACACTTCATTGCATGTGCCGAGTGTGGTGTTTCGACGGGCAATCGATCCAACAGGCCCATTGCTGCATGATTCAAGGGCAATGATGCTTAAAAAAAAAAAAAAAAAACATGCCGTGGGTGGTCCCCTGGGATGGAAGGGCAATGATGCTTGCACATTCATTCTTTCATTTAGTTAGTACAACAATTGGACCCGCCGCAGCGAAGGACGATAAAAAGAAACATTTTGCAAAACACCCCAGCCATCAGTTGGACCCCATCTTTGCAATGTACCCCTACCGGACGGTGCCTAACTTTGCAAAATGCCCCGGCAGTTGCCAAGTTTTTGTAGGTGCAGTTGCAAAAGGCCAAACAAATTTGCACACCCACCTAACAGGGGCATAACACAAACATGTCAGTCCAAAAGGCCATTCCACTGTGCTTTAGGGACATTTTGACATATATCTCAACTTATGGGGGTATTTGGAAAATTACTACCCCTCCCCCAAAAAAAAGGAGAATCTGTGTGTGTGTGTGTGTGTGTGTGTGTGTGTGTGTGTGTGTGTGTGTGTGTGTGTGTGTGTGTTTTAGATTCTCCCCACAACAGCCCCAATTTCACCCAGGTGAATATATTCAGAATCAAAGCAATCTTTGTCCTATTGCAGACAACGAAAGCATTTGAGATGTCCAACATATTAAAGCAATTTTATAATTAGACAGTTTTTTGGTTGTCCTTGGGGTACCCCTTTCATTGTTCTTGCAGCTCCCCTTTTACTGTGCCTCTTA